TACTAAGGGCCATTCTTACAATGCTCGGTTAGTGCCTGATAACACTAACCGGAAGAATTTATCATGAGTTAACCGATAGAATTCTACCGGTTAGTCTTTACCGACACTTAACCAGAGATTGTAAGAACGGGTCTAAGTAGGTATATTTTGTGATAAGAACAATTTATTTTACTACATTATAGGCAGGACTGGGCAAGATACCTCAAAAAAAGTATCTAAATACAAGATACTATAATATTTTTAAAGATACTAGATACAAGATACTTAATATATTTATTTATTTTTATTAATTTCTTAATTTACCTTGGATACAATTTTATCATATATAATTTATATAGTATTATAGCTTATAAATATATAATACGGTATGCATTGCTCATTATTACCAACACAATTTCAAATAACATTAGATACGCTTAAAATAATAATAGTAATAATAGATAAATGAAATAATAGGCAAAAAGATTTACAGTCTATAAAAAAACGTTATAAAAAATAAATATATTCATAAATTAGCAATGTTTACTTATTATTTATTAAATGTTTAAATGTAGGTGATTTATATAAATAATTAATTATATTATTTACAGCCCATGTTTTGAAATAAATTCCTAGTTACCTTTTAAAGAGACAAATTTTTTGAAAGTATCATCTGACATGCTAGATCTACATGGAGAATGAATAAGCCCCCCAGCAAAAGAAAATAGTCGTTCAACAGCTGCTGAAGAGGTTAGGCTTGTATTATATTTTATAAATAATTTTTTTATTATTGGATAATTATCTAGACACCAAAGTTACTTTAATCTAATATATTATTATCTAACATATTACTTATTGGACAATTAGGAAAATTGTTATATAGATGAAATATGAAACATTTTTGAATGTATCTAGTATCTTAATCATAAAAAGATACTAGATACAAGTCAATAAAGTATTTAAATACCCGATACAAGATACATTCAAATTATGTATCTCGATACAAGATACAATTGTATCTAAGATACTGCCTAGCCCTGATTATATTTATAGGCATTATAGAAYTATAATAGTAGGATAGATTCATTTTTGTGTGTAAATGTATAATATTATACCTATTCTAAAAGTTTAAAGTACTCACAAATGATATTTTTAAATTACAGTAAAGTATTAAGTAACTAAATTAAATATATAATTTCGTCCAAATTTTWAAAATTTAAATAATTTWAAAAAAATACTGTTTATAAACTGTATTTTTTCAAATTTTTTGATTATAAAATTAAATACCAACAAGCAACTTTATTTTAAATGTCCAGTCCTTGCAGGTTATAATAGTTGAACCATGATATAAATAACCAGGTATCCCAACAACTAACCGATTATGGCAATGAAAGGCGCAGTCATGGAACTAATAACAAAACATTATTTTTTCCGTTGAAATATGACGTCAACCGCCAGTGAAGATGTTTCAATAATTTTGCGTGATATTATTCAAATTTAACACATCCCTTACTGTGACCTTCTCAACACCTACTATACAGCATTTTTTTTTTTTATTTAGTTAATATTTGGAAATAAATCTGTATTACAAATTAATATTTACGCGTTCACTTATAATTATACACCATGTCGTTAATTGTATACTATTTAAGGAAGAAGGTTTAAAAGTTATATACATTTGATGAATATTGTTTATGTATTTAATAAGCAGTGATCTATTGGAAAGTATACGCGGGTATACGGCGTATACTCTACCACCAGTTTACTGATTTAGCGTATACCCTTAAAAATTACTAAAGATACGCGCATATACCTACGTATACCTTTTAGATTCTGAACGAAGTGATAAATGTATTGATTTTACAATGATGTATGTTTTTTTTTTTTTTCTGTGTGTACAGCATAACTAGTCGAAATAATGCTTCGATTTCAAACTTTGGGGGTGGTTTCTGATGTAAAATTGAAGATCCTTGGTGCGTTATACAGGTCAAAAGTAAACATTTTCCAACAGTTTTCAAAAAAATCGA